CCTGGCCTCCAAGTAGGTGGAAAGGCGTTCGCGAACCATGGTTTCCATGAGTTTGCCTGCGCAAGACGTAAGTGAGATGGGTCTCAGTGCCTCAATACTAATGGACTTTGCCGATTTGGGAATGAATGTCACGACCGATGTGGTCCATTCCGTTGGAAGCGGAGAACCGTCCCATATCGAATTTATAAGGTGGAGTAGCGAGAGGTGTGCTTGGTCGGGAAGATTTGCCAGGAGCGATACTGTGATTCCGTCGCGTCCAGGGGCCGTGCCCCGTCGCATTTTCGTGAGTGCAAATCGTAAATCAGAAAGTGTGTATGGGGCGTCGAGGTCGGTGTTCGGGGCGCCGGAATACGTATATGCTGGGCCTGCGGGATCAATTGTGCGGCAGATGTAGCGGTCACAAAGTTCTCGCGCGAGTTCATCCGTAGTGCCCTGAAAGGCATGCAGAACATGGTGGAGCTGGCGTTGCGTTTCTCCCCTGGTGGTGGAGGGATCGAGAAGGCTTCTAAAGAGTCGCCACGCACTCTTAGAGCTCATCTGCTTTGCAGCCTTCGAACAGGTGTCTGCCCAGTTAGCATCGGAAAGTTGTGCGGAGTATGCGGCCGCCTCTGCAGTGAGCGCCTCAATGCGAGCGCGAAGTTTCCGATTAAGTTTGTTGCGTTTCCAGCGCCTTATGAGCCCGCGGCGAGCATGCCAAAGATGTAGGAGGTGTGGATCGATTGCAGGAGTCAAATTAGAGGTTGCAAGGGTGCGAGTGTTCACTTGTTTCATATGAAGAGCGTATGATGCCCACGCTGCATATTCGGTCGAGGAGAGGCCGGCGGGGAATGGTTGCATTCTGAACCGAGTCCAATCGGTGAGACGGGCTTGGCCCCAGTGTTGGCGCATTTTCTGCCGCGGTGTGAACGAAATGCGGAGTAAAAAGTGATCGCTGCCTAGGGTTTCGCCTAAATTCTCCCATGTAGCATCGCGGATGTGACGGGTGAGGGAGAGGTCGGGGCATGTGTCTCGCGTGACCGAGTTGCCGGAACGTGTGGGTTGTGCCGGATCGGTAAGAAGCGTCAGGCTCAGCGAGGAAATGAGCTCCTTGAGCTCTCTGCCCCGGGCCTTCTCGTAGTGGTAACCCCAGTGAGGGCTGGGGGCATTAAAGTCCCCGACAATCACCAGTGGTTGTCGGGCCGCTATACGCAGCGCCCGGTGGAAGAGATGCGCAAACGAAGCCCTTGCAAGGCGAGGGGGACAGTACACGTTTAATATATGTATTGATGGTTGGCCCCTCCGCTGAGATAGCACTGATATCATGCAGTAGTCGTAAGGAAGATCCAGATCGAGGTCAATCTGTACTGCCGTGTAAGCTTTATGCACGAGGAGGCATGTGGTGGTGCCGCCTACATAGGAGCAGTATCCAGAAAGGGATGGAGCAGGGCCAGATTCTTGGAGCGCCAAGACGGCCGGCTGAGAGCCAAGTGAGCTGAGGAAAAGGGAAAGATGTGAACGCTTTCGCCTGTTCCCGAAGCCTCCAGGGTTCCACTGTATGATCTCGAATTTAGACGCAATGTTTGAACGGGACGTACGATTGGTAGCCATCGTGACTGTCCTAGGTTTTATATTTGGTCCTCCATGTCCCGCTCGGAATCCTCAGAGGCAGGGAGGGGCACGGAGGCCGGATTGTCCGACGGCGGGGTGGTGGTAGCCACCTTACGACGACGCCGTGGAGCTGTACCCTCACTGCTCACCGAGCAGGAGCGGGAACGCGATGCCTTGGGTTGAAACTGGGTGATTGCCCAGGCTTGAATAGCCTGGGTAACCTCTACTACTATGCGTTGGACCGAGAAGCTGGTGAGGAGGTGATTAATCGAAGCTTCGACGCGCGTGAGGCGTTCCTCTACGCGCGGGGTGCGCTCTTCGCTAGGGAGAGTTTGGTTAGCGGGCAAGATAACCTGAGGTGCCCCAGGAGCCTCAAGAGCTTCTGGAGTAGATGTGGCACCGGTTCCGAGTGCTGGAGTACAAATGGTTGCTGTGTCTGGTGTCGTGAGGGCTTGACGAGCAATTGCGCGCTGCCTACGCAATTCATCGAAGCTTTGACAGAGGGAAACGAGGACAGCAATGGTGGGGGGATTTCTCGCGAGCAACATCTGAAAGGCGCCGTCGTCAATGCCTTTCAATATGTGCCTGATTTTTTCTTCCTCAGGCATGGTAGAGTTGATGCGGTTGCATAGATGCAACACATCTTCAATGTAGCCCGTGTAGGTCTCGCCTGGTTGCTGCGCACGGTGACGTAAACGGTGCTCGGCTTGAAGCTTGCGTGCCGCAGGTCGTCCAAAGACGTCCGTAATAGCCGTCTTGAATGCAGACCACGTAGTAATGTCAGCTGCGTGGTTATTAAACCACAGTTGCGCGGTGTCCGCAAGGTAGAATGTGACGTAGCCAAGCTTACTTGGGTCGTCCCATTTGTTACTTGCGCCGACTTTGTCGTACCTCGCCAACCAATCTTCGACGTCCGACTCAGTGGAGCCCGTGAAGATAGGAGGGTCTCGTTGAGGATACACGGCACCGCAAGTGACATAGACGGTCGAAGGTCCCACCTGGAGAGGCGTCTCGGTGGCCATGTTCGTGTCACGTAGAGGGGGAAGCTTACGGGAGCGAAGTTCCAGGTTTGTACTGGAGTCCACACACCTCCACCAGATGTCACGCAGTTTCTTCACGTACAGACCTACTGGAAGGCCGAGGAACGCCAGAAGAGCGAGGAACACCAACAGGCCGAAAATACAAAAACAAACGCAAGCTCGGGTCGCGCGTGTACCAACGCTGTGGCTTGCCATTTCATCCTGCTTCGTCGTCGTTCGCATAGTTCCCTACAATATATATATATATATATATATATATATATATATATATATATATATATATATATATATATATATATATATATATATATATATATATATATATATATATATATATATATATATATATATATATATAAATAACTCAGCGTATAACTCATCCCCTGATGAAGGGAGGACCCCTACCGAAACTGTTGGGAAATAAATATATTTTTATTTGGGTGATAACCGCGTCTAATTTTGCGAAACAATCGGAAATTTTATTGCCACCTGGGTTCTTTTTGCAACAATATTTTCATAGCGGTAGCTGTATGCCAGAATATAATATTGTCACGACGCATACACAGCAGAAGTCCGATATAGAAGAGTTCACTTTAAATAAAATGAAAGGCGCTCGTAAAGAGGACTGGGCAAGAGCTTCGTCTTCCTTTCTGGCTGCGCGAGCTCTTCTCTGCAGGTTGATTGCGGCATTTGCCTCCCTCCAGGAAGAGCATCGTCCCGATGCTCGGCTACAGAATACGCGGTGTATGTAGTTGACGTATTATGCAGCTGGCTCACTGCAATATGGCTTCATCCGCACAACGTGTACGATTTCTGATTTTCGAGTTCGCGAGGGACTGTCAGGGATGACCTCATAATTCACGTCACTTAGGCGCCGTAGAACATTGTAGGGACCAAAGTACTTCTTCAGTGACTTTTCAGAAAGGCCGCGCTGGGTAAAGGCTTGAACATCCGTGTCTGTGTCATCGCAGTCGTGCAGCAACATGGCATCAAGCATTGTCGTCACTTCACGGCCATAAGGAAGACTAAACGGCGTGCTTCGTGTAGTTTCCTGCTGCGCCGTATATGCGGTAGGGCCCGTCACGTATGGTAGAACGTCGTCCCAATATTTATGATCGACGTCGATGTAGATACTGAGCATGTCAGCAATTGTCTTGTTGAGGCGCTCTGTTAAGCCGTTGGTTTGTGGGTGGTAGGAGGTAGTTTCTCGATGCGCTGTTCCACTCAACTCAAGCACTGACTTGAGGAGCATGGCCGTGAAAGCGCTCCCGGCCATGCTCATTTTGTAGCAGCTCACAATGCAGCAGGAGTGCGTGCCTGCTTTCCAGGATGACCAAGGAGCGCCGCCCATAGCGCCCGAAAAGCAAGATAAAAGAAGATAAACTCCCCAAGGAACACGTTGTCCGTGCGCGCAATGGTAAAACCCAAGCAAGCGCGGCGCGTTCGAGCGACCGGAGCTTTGCCCTCTCTCCGCTAGGGCGGCGAATGGCGCTACACGCAAACTTGAGCCTGTCGCCCTTACGTTGCGCCCTTTCATTGTTAACACAGCCCCTTAATAACATCCGGTTTTGCCCACCGATGTCATTGGTGGGCAAAACCGGACATCGGTGGGCAAGGAGAGCTTTAGAAAATAGCCCGCTAATTTTCTACACTTTCCTTTATTTGGCAATATATATCCAGACAAGTGTTCTTTTGAGCTACATAAAAATTATGATTCTCCCTTGAACTTTACGCACGTTTTTTATATCTGAAAAACTGGAGACATTTCCTTTTTAAAAGAAGTTGAAAGCGTTAAGTTTTCTTGGGTACAGCGCTTTTGACCTGGATTGATTGATGTGTGGGGTTTAACGTCCCAAAACCACCATTTGATTATGAGAGACACCGTAGTGGAGGGCTCCGCAAATTTTGACCACCTGGGGTTCTTTAACGTGCACCCAAATCTGAGCACACCGGCCTACAACATTTCCGCCTCCATCGGAAATGCAGCCGCCGCAGCCGGGATTCGAACCCGCGACGTGCGGGTCAGCAGCCGAGTACCTTAGCCACTAGACCACCGCGGCGGGGCAGCGCTTTTGACTTTGAAACCGCCTATACGCCCACTACCTCAATGTATGATATACTAGCTGTATGTTAACTATATGCTCACCACAGAACACGCCCATGCCAAATTTTGCGGAAATGTAGCAAACACACATTGAAACTCAACTATTACAAAATTAAGTAGCAAACGAGACCAAAAACTACACAGCACCTAACATAACAGCACTGAAGTAACGTTAGCATGCGCAAGCACTTACCATGATGTTAGCCACAGAGATTTCGATTGCGAAATTTACCAGTACTATTAGTCAGAAGAGAACAAATGCACAAACGGGGTGAAGGTCCTTATTTTTATTTTGTAATGAAAATTACAAGCATCTCAAGTACACTGAAGAAAAACAGTCAGTCCTAACAGGTAGAGAAGTAAAAAAAAATTATGAACAGCCTAAAGTGACAAAAAAATGCACAATAAAATAACATACACAAGCCTGGCCTGCTGCCAAAATCCTCTGCACACATTGGGCCCAATCTTCCGCACAGAATTATGTACAATCATGCGTTACTCTCTTCTACATAACCGGCTCCTGCGCGCAACAGAATAAAAAAGGGGGGTGCTCGTGAAACCATGCCTTTAATTCAAAAATTCAGCACGGAATACAAGCAGCACATGTGATGATTGATCAGTCCTTGCTGCGCAGCGCACACGCATCCTTGTATGCCAAGCCTTTCTGTATGCCACCTTGGATACCAGTTAATGCATGAAAGAAAGGACCATCTATTGCTCTTCACAGCAAAAAGCGGGGGCAACAAAAAAAGAAACACAGGGACGCGGAAAGTTCCCACGTATCACACTTGTTAGAAAACCGGGACAAATAGGAAAGCCTATGCAGCAGCAGGCAAACTTGACTGGACCAGCAGACGATTTTCGGCTTAGTGCATCGATGACGGAAAATAAAAAGAGAGACTAATGGTTTCTGAGAACAGCAGCAGCCAAGCAGCAACGAAGAAAAGAATACTGGTGGCAGACAGAAAGGCCGACGAGAGCAAGAGAAAAAAAGTTAGCAGCAGAACTGGATAAAAAGAAGAAAATTCTTTTCTCCCCTTCCCTCCCAGCTCCAAGGCAGGGGATGGACTGTAGAGAGAGGGCTGTCACAGAAGGATGAGGCAATCCAGTCCTTTTTTTCTCTCTCTCGCCCCTCTCGGAAAAAAAAAAAAAAAGTGCTCTCTCCCACCCAGCTGACAACGCGCACGGCACACTACTGTGATGTAGTAGTCGCGGCTTCGGTGGTGTCTACTTTTGGTTCTTGAGCTGGTTGGAAAGCCAGTCGAGGCCCTCGTAGAGGCCGTCTCCACTGGTGGCACAAGTGGCCTGGATGTACCAGTTGCGGTTGCGAAGAGAGTGCAGGCCCAACTTATCCGTTATCTCGGCCGCATTCATGGCATTTGGCAAGTCCTGAAAAACAAAAGACATGAACACACAGATACGTAAGTGCAGATAATGTAGAGCATAAAAAAATCTGCCAGCACTTTTGGACATGAAACAAAGGAAAAGACACTGAAAAGCTAAGTTCTAATATGCTGGCTCAATCGAAATTCAAATATAGGTTGCAGAAAAGCTTCATGTGGAAGTGTGATGCATCTTCTTGCTTTTGAATTATAGTGGCATGGTAGTTTTAAATGTTGCGCCAGATAAGAATTTCACTATGGTGCAGCAGATGCCATCAAAATCCATGGTCACAACATGAGCTTGTGTGGGAATGTGCAAAGCCTTTATAAGCTGCAATTTTGTAACACTTGCAGCTCACGTTCTGAAATTGCCTTATCCCCTTATTGCAACTGCTTATGCCGATGTTGACATTGAGTGAAAGAAGGCGTACCTAAACATGGTGACCTTGTTTCCCCATATTTGTTCGTACAGCTTGTTAATGATAATTAAATTATTTTGCTTTTGGTATTTAAAATGTGAAGATTGGTAGGTAATGCAGATACGTAAAAACAAATGGCATTACAAGAAGTCATTCTTGATAAGCTGCAGACCATATTTTCCTGAATTAATGTTGGATGTTTTAAAACAATTACCGTATTTACTCAATTCTACCGCGCTCTCGATTGTAGCGCGCACCCAGTTTCCACGAAGAAAAAAAAAAAAGTAAGACTTCGATTGCAACACGCAGCCATTTTTCTCGTTGGCCCGCATGATCACACCACTCGGGAAAATGACTTCTTTCAGGAGCGCCTTCCGTTTAAATATGAGGTATGGGGGAAGCTTGTACCTATCTGACGTGCAACGGAGCATTGCCGTCACTCTAGTTTTACGGTGGCCTGATCTCGGCACGCAAACTTGCTTCGCCCCCTTCTCGATGGTTGTGGTGCCAGGCATGTTGACGTAAAAAGGCGTCTGATCGGCATTCCCGATTTGCCCAAGCAGGTAGCCGTTGTTGTGCCGCAAGTTTAGGACGAACCTCTGAAAACTGAGAAGCTTTTCATCGTACTCCCCCGGAAACTTTTCGCATATGCCCGTTCGCCTTCGGAGGAAAAAGCCTTTCTTCTTCATAAAGTTAGTTGGCCAGCACCTGCTTGCTTTAAACTGGCTCTGCATTAGCCCTTTTTCTAAGGCTAACTGCACAGCCTGCACTTGGAGCAGTTCTGTCATCACGGGCCACTGTGCCGCTCACTGCTCAATCATATACTCGCCGAGCAGCTCTTCAATTTGCAGAAACCGACCCTGCTGTGGTCCACTGAAGCCTTTGCGTGAATATTTGCTGTCGACAATCTTCCGAGTTTGTTTCCGCCAGTCCCGCACGCACGTTTCGGGAACTCTGAACGACCGCGATGCGGCCCGATTTCCGTCTGTTTCGGCACACGCGATGACTTTTCTTTTGAAAGTGGCATCGTGGTGCACTCGTCGAGTTTTTGGAGTCTGCCCTTCCATGCTGTCGATGCTAATGCACTACAAGATGACCAACTCCTCAGCACATGGGAAACGCATAGGCAGAAATGAGTGATGCGCTATGCCGACGCACGTTGGGGGTGGCCATTTTGGAAATGCCGATTGCAATAGAGTGACCGCATTCATTTTTTTTTTTTCGTACTCGATTCTAACGCGCATGCGATTTATGAACTCGCTTAACCGGAAAAAAGGTGCGCGTTAGATTCGAGTAATTACGGGAATCTGAGGAGTGGCATCTCTAGGGGACACTAAGCCAACTATTAGGTCGACGTTGATTGTTGAAATGGCGGTCCAGAAACCTTGTAGTGCTACTTTTGTGCCAAGGAAAGGCCTATGTTGAAATAAAATCATGTTTTTGTGCTCCGCATCGAGTTAGCGCACTTCAAATTACCCGCCTTAAAGGAGCGCTGACATCAAATTTCAAGATCGAGATGTGCTCATGATTCGATCGCTTGGTATGCACAGGTCTTCTTGGCCAAATTTGATAGGCATTCGTCGTGTGGAAGTTATTTTAATTCGATGTCAAACAGCGTAGAAAAGCTAAAGAAAAAAAAAAAAAACGAAAAATAAGACTGCCTTGCGACATCGACGCTAGTGCTAAGTGTTCGGTGCGATACATTCCACAAATACCATCCTGAGTGATGATGCCTTAGTAGCGATGACGTGTACGATCCGAGTGTTCTTATCGTGGCGCTTAAGTGCAGAAACGCACTCACTCGTCCACGGCCGGGCTAGCGCGCGCAGGTGCAGTAAATATTCAGCTCGCATATTCTTGTGAGCCTCAACTGCTGATAGGCAGCGCATTGACCACGCTGAGAAAGTGTTGCAGGGCACCTTTAAGGACAACGAGTTCTTATAACCACAAACATTGCACAGTACATCTTTTTTAAGTGTTCCATGTCAGGATTGTACTGCCTACTCACCATGCATTACTATCGCCAGTTCAAAAGTGTGAGCGCGCGCTCTAGAACACACACACACGGCCTAGCCCCGCCTTGTTCGTTATGCCAAAGCGCCATTGATAACCAGTCTTTGTATGGTTTCCTATGAAGTGGCAGGCAGAAGGAGGCAAAAGGACCCACCTGCTTGTTGGCAAAGATGAGCAAAACTGCATCCCTCAGCTCATCCTCTGCGAGCATCCTCATGAGCTCCTCCCTCGCTTCACCAATTCGCTCCCTGTCATTGCTGTCGACCACAAATATCAAGCCTGAGGGAGACAAAGATAGTCTTTCAGAAAGCAAGCCTATAAAACAATACCCGTAAAGCATGCCTCCGACACGTGCCATCACACATCTAAATAGACAGTAGTGATATGCTGCAGAGCTTTTTTTATTGTAATTAAGGAGAATGGCTTTGCAGAAACTTGAGAAACAATACAGGACAGAAGTAGCATGGGCACATGAATCATAACTGAAATGCAAAAATGCAAGGGAGATAAAAAAAGCTGACGTTAGTCTTAACAAAGACACCATTAAGGGGAGATGCTACTCGAAGACACTTGTTAAAATATTCACCCTAGAGCAATAAAACTTGAGCTGTTAATAGAACATATTATGTTGACTTGAGAAATAAAATTATTTTTCTTGCAAGTTGCATACTTTTAGTTCTACAACATGACAAAGTGAAAACCTTAAGAGGGCTCACCAGTGCCCATAGAGAATACACGTGTACTTTTTGAAGTTCTAGCTCGTCCAAATTTGGTCAGATGTACACGGGGTTTTCCGCACTGTATTCCTTTTTAGGGTATGGAGGAAGTGTTGCGGACAGATTTTCTACTCAGGCCAGAGGCAAATAACCAGAAAAATTGTACTTTTGTAGTCTCGCTCTTTTCGGTTGTCTCCTAAAGACGATAACTGAATTATTGAAATTATTTCCGCAACATTTCCTTCCTTTTTCGTTCCCAATTGTTACGGTATAATTTTTGTGCAGATCAGTCCAGTGGTTTACATTTTACAGGCTGAAAAAGTGTGAGTGCTTTTTGTGTGCATTTAAAAATCGTGCCAAATTCAACAGGAGCGATGTGGCTCCACATGGTGCCACCTACTATTCAAAACACCGAAAAACAAGAGGCGAAATTATTAGAAGGCCAAAAAAATGAAATGTAGAAAAATATAACTGCAAAAATTTAAAGTGCTGAAAAAACGAAACACCGAAAATACCAGCACCTTGCTATAAGAAGAGTGTCTAGCCGCGACTGAGCATCTGCAGGCCTGCGTGCTTTCGCCCTCTTTTCCAATAGCCATGAATTCCCTTCGCATATGGGTCAAGCCTCCGAAAACAAGAATGTATTCCCTTGTTTTTTCAATTTCATACAGATAAATTGAGTGCAATGCCTCGCAGGAAACTTAGAACGTCCACAATGCCCCGATTGGGCAGTGCAGCTGCCATACGATCTTGGACAACTGATGCTTCATCACTTTTACTAAGATTAATGGCCAAGAGAATATGGTTATTGGAAAAGAGGGTGACAACCTTTATGTTGCCAATATACTTTATCTTCCACCATGGCAAGGCGATGGAGTCTTTATGCTTCTTTTATTGTTTCGGTGTTCCGATGTTTCGGTATTTTAAGTTTTCGGCACCTTGAGTTTTCGGCATTTCAATTTTTCGTAGTTCCGACGTTCAGCCTTCTAATAGTTCGGAGTCTTGATTTTCGGCGTTTTGATAGGGACGCTAGCAGACGACATTGTCCTGCTCTTGGCGAAGCACTTATGCGTAACGAATGTTTGTGATGGAACTGAGAAAGAGGAAGAAAAATGAAAGAAAACAATACAGGGAATTAGACTGGCTACATTTATCCTAAAAGACAGGATTGAGCAGTTGCCCTTATAATATATTTGCTACAAATCCTTGTCGCCTCTGCTGGCTGCCGTGCATTTTCATCGGCATTGCCTAAATGGACAAAATATATCACCGTACAACACAAGCTTGACGCCTGTGTATGCGCCTTTTCATAGTGCATCCTCTATAAACAGAATAACTGTAGCAGCTTAAATACGGGATCGTACGTACGTAGTCAACTAACATATATCAGATATCTTTCGTTTATAAAATATTAATGAAAACTATGGAATAATAAACCACAGAAGATACAGAGGATGTAAATCGTACTGTTGTAACTGCGTTGTAGTAATTGTGATATATACGTAAAAAAAAGTATAATGTACAGACACACCATTAAATAGTTTTCCTTTCGTACAAAACAGCCAGACAAATTTTAGAATTTTTAATAAGTTTATGCATTTATTTCATCACCCAGTTTAGTGTTTTCACATTTGAATCGCGATAACTACAATACAGGGAAAGCTGTATAATTCAAGCCCATTCTACACTCCTTGGCTTCATTTATTTGTTTTCATTGAAGTAACATTTTAAGTAGGCATATATATATGGAAGCACAGAAAACTTTGGTATCTATTAATATGACCAATTGTTAATTTACCATTGCCATCAGTGATTCTATCAATAATTTGAAATGTGCAAGTTGGCTCCGCGTCCCACTGTATAACATCTTATTTTTTAATGAAAAAAAAAAAAAGTCGAATGGACTGTAGTAATTTTTCGGGCGTGTATCACCCAGTAACTGGATTGACCAGCACAGTAGTAAACAGGAATGAACTCTGGTTACGTTCTGTGCCTCGTATAGATACTCATTTTTGCTGCACAGTGAACTCTGACCACGCACTGCTAGCTCAGCGTACTTCAGAAAGCCGTGCCGTTCGCCTGCCATCTATTCAAGTGTAAACAAAATTTTACCGGTGGAATCAATCACTTTGTGTTTACAATACTGCTCTGGCAGTTCAACAAGTACCAGTCCCCCGTCGGGGTGAATTAGCAGAACGAAGGGTGTTCTGAGCAGTGACCTTGTCCACCATGCATTCTGCATACCACAACTGCAGGGGCCGATTCTTGTACCCATAGCCTGAGGAAGCAAATAGCACCTTCTTGCATCTAGTTTAATGGGCTGCTGAAAATGCAACAGCCTCTCACAATAAGCAGCATACAGCTGTAAAGGCACATAATTAGCATTGTTGGAGCTACAGGTGTGTTGTGACAAAAGCAAGAAATTTGGGGATCGCTACGCCGTAAATAGTTTTGACCCTGCGGTATCATTTGCCACGGTTCAGGCAGAAAAACTTTTCTGACAAAGTGGTTACCGTGTTATCAAGTAGTCCCGGGAAAGTTTTCAGCAATGCTACTTTTACATGCGCAGTGAAAATTCAGTGTCTTGGTGAGATTTTAGACACCTACAGCGTGTTCGAACTTCCACCTTTTTATAGTGTGTAAGTGCTGCCATCTATGAACACAAAAAGTTCAATTCTCAGTTGCTTTTGAGCTGGTGAGCTCCCTCGACCTCACAAGAATGGTGCAGATGGCATCCATTGCCACATAACGGACTGTTCGACTAATGGCAGTGCTTGATGTACGAAATCGTACCAGCAGCTCGTAACCTATTCCTACAGAGCGCTCTGCCACAACAGCTTTCATGTTGATAGCGAAGCTATCGCGTGAGCTTCCGCTGTCATATGTTCTCGCAGTCAGTCAATCACCTGCCGCACTCACGCTGGCCTCCTTCCTTGAAACTACTTGATGCGAAGTATGTCGCCAAACGAATAGTTCCGGGGACTTCACTGCTAGGGCAGTGTAGTCAAGTCCGTTCCACTTGTCCGCGAGTTTCTGGACACTCGCTCCTGAATGACGACACGCTGGACACATTGCAACACTTAAAAGCACGTTAACTGCTGTTAAAACAGCAATCATCAACGAAGACTCCGATCTTCCGGGAGGCACTCGCATATTCGAATGCGTCAACTAACTCATCAAACCCACCACCACTACACTATCTTTTCGCAGTTCGAGTGTTAGAAGTTGATTTGCGCTGGTGTCCTCTAAATTTCTGCGCAAAACTTCACAGGCCAGTGACTGCACTTGCTACGGCTTTCTTTACCCAGACCCTGCAAGTAAGCTTCACAGCACACACTGGTATGCAGGGGCCAATGGTGGTCCCCGATCTGTACCATGTAAATTAAAAGCCAGTCGCAGCACGTAAAAAATGTGGAAAAAGCATGCTTTTTGTTCATTTTTGCACTGCAGCAGTGGGGAAACGATCATTATTTGAAGAGTGAGGCTTGGCACTTTGCCTCATGCGGTCGACAATGGCAAGCGGCAGCTCATTTGCAGCGGTGAGGTGTTCAAAGACTGCACACTTTCGGCCTTTGAACAGTCACCTTGTGCTCTTCAGATGCAATTTTAAAGCATTTCCAGTGGAGTCTACAAAGATTTTCTTCCCAGGACATTAGAGACTAATCTTGACAAAACAGGAGATCTAATTTTTTTAGAAAACTCGCACTCTTCAACCTGCGTCTCCCTTTATTTGCCCCCCCCCCCCCCCGTCTATGGCAATTATTCTTGGCAATCCTAACTGGAGTGTGTCACTTCTGCAAAGATTATGCTGCAAATATACTTTATCTTCCACCATAGCTAGGCGACCGCTGTGCCATTCGTCTGCCATCTATTCGAGTGTAAACAAAATTTTACCGGCAGAATCAATTGCTTCCTTAATTCGCAGCTAACTGGAATAATCCAGTCAGCTGTGAGTTAATGAGCTTTGACTACTGCTGCACTGTTATTTGTTTCAATTATTTCACTGCCTTTAACATTATTTTTAGCAATTTCATATATCACAATGTTATAATGCACTCCATCAAATGTCGAACAGCAAACATATACACACAGTGCAGCATGTAGAAGGAACTGTCCGAATCATGAAAGCTGCATTGACCATTGTTCAGCATACTATATGCCAAACCAATGTACACCACAACACAAGCTTTTGTTCTGGCAGGAATAAAAATATAAGAAGAGATTTCGTTCACGGGCACATTTTGACATGCTTTAACGGCAAAACGTCCTTGCCTAGCTTATACAGTTTTAGCGTTGCGATTAAACCTAAAAAGAGTTCAACAATATTTTGCCCTCCAAGCAACGAGACAATGTAAAATGAGTGGGAAAAAAAATGGCGAGGGGGACTTTTATTTACCTGCTGTGAGCACAACAGAGCATCGGGACGGCGGATTTCTGAGTGACAGAGAGACTGGCACTGCCTTATGTTTTTTTTTTTTTTTGAGATAGCAGTGTGTGCACCAACTTTCTAAATACAGGTTTCGATAAGAAAAAAGGGAACACCAAACATGGCTTGTCTGGTTC